GTTCTTTTCATTTGGATGTTGCCATAAGAAACAGGCTGAGAACAAAGACCATTATTATAAAATAATGAAATAAATCACTATTCATCTTCAAGCATTAACAAACTTAGCACATAGTAGGTGCTTAATAATAACTTACTGTGTGATAATTATAACCCTTCTTAGGTGGAGCCTCCATTTACCTGGAGATAGACCCTTTCTGGAATGGTTGACAGTAGCCAAGTGCTCCTTACCCAAACCCCTACAAAAGCCTGTAAATAAACATTCACACAACTTGAAATTTGTTTATCTTTTATCATTGTCCAAAGAGAAATTCCTGGATATATATATATATATATATATATATATATGTATATGTATGTATATGTATATGTGTGTGTGTGTATATATATATATATATATATATTTTCTATATATATTCTTTATCTACTTACCTGCCTACCTATCTACTCTAAATATTAGGGAGCATAATTCTGGTAAAAAAAATAAATGTTGTAAATCAAGAAATTTTCCTCATGTAAATTTCAGCTTTTATAAAGATTCCAGATGTCAGTGCCCTGTAGGTCCTGGAAAATATGTCATTGTTTTGTATTTCTAAATCTTGTACACAATTATTAAAACTTTTACAATATAACCACATCTCCTGAGACTGGAAACAGGAGTTTGCAATCCTTTGCAAGGATTGGGGGATGCTGCAGTCACCCCCAGGGCCTCAGCAGGGGTCAGCCTCTACTAGACTAAGGCTGGCTTGGGGAAGGTGTCCGTGTAAACATTCAGCTGCTGCCCCCTGCGTAGAAGAGCAGTGCATTTTGACAGAATTGTGGAGGGAAACACCTCCAAAAGAGAGCAAAACAAAAACTGTAGTGTTGTAGCATTTGTCCTAGGGATACAATTCTTCATTGCTGATAATGATAATGGGTATAGTACTTTGAAACCTATTACCAATCTCTTTTTTTCTTTTCTGTATACATAGCCTTTTTCATAGTCCACACTCCCATCTATCTGCTGGGGGAATGGGAGTTAGAGTAGGAAATTAGGATTCTTTCAATACTAATTTTGTGTCCCTAATGAGGCAATGTGAGGAAAAGTAAGAATTTTAAATATGTTTATGCTTTAACACAACAAAACCTAGATCTGGACTTCAACATGGAGACTGCTAGAAACCAGAGAGAACTCAGGATAGGATATTAGGGAAATTCACATAAGACAGAGAGAAAAAGTGCAAAGAGGATCTCCTCTTCTATTATGGCAGTGAGAGGGCAGGAGAAATGGGGCAAGAGGCAGGCCAAGGTCTGCAGTGACCACCCACCCTTGGGGGTGAAATTAAAGGAGGAGGGTGTTATCCTTATCCAACTAGACATAGCCTGAGAGCACTGGAGCCAGAGGCCTGCGTCCTTCTATGCAGCGCAAGAAAGGTTGTGATTCTCTACGAGAAGTTCCATATTTAGCTTAGGCATGCATCCAAGATGGTGTGGCAGAGGGCCAGCATAATGCTCACTTAGGGCCAGATGGGGCCAGCACACAGTGAGCCCATTCAGGGACCTATAGACGACTACACCTAAGTAGCCACAGAGCCCTCATGAGAACACAGCGGACAACACCTGAGCTGCAACATCACGTAGAGCCAAGGGATGGTAATTGAACTGAGCACATGGATCCAGAAACCCTTCTCTTCCTCCTTGCTCCTCCCCACCTTTCCATTTAGTACATGTCACCTCAGATGAGAGCAGTGGGCACAAAGAAGAAACTGGATTAATGCATATGTAAAAGAAAAGAAATCATCGAAATGAGACTGTTTAAACCAGGCATCCCCAAACTTTTTACACAGGGGGCCAGTTCACTGTCCCTCAGACTGTTGGAGGGCCACCACATACTGTGCTCCTCTGACTGACCACCAATGAAAGAGGTGCCCCTTCCTGAAGTGCAGTGGGGGCCGGATAAATGGCCTCAGGGGGCCGCATGCGGCCCGCGGGCCATAGTTTGGGGACGCCTGGTTTAAACCAAAGACAGAGATACTGTTAATTCGCAAGTTTAAAATCACTATCCTCTGCCCTCTCCCCCAGGAGGGTGAGTATAGTGAGAAATACCGGATCGCTATTGGAAAATAATGCACATCTTCTTTGCACATATGTGTAATAATGTTAAACTATAAAATGTCTATACAAACAAGAAAAGAATTGTATATTTTTAATAGCTCCCCTTTTATACAAAGGATTTGAGGCAGCTATAACCTATGTATTAGAAAATAAACACTCAAGGAAAGATCTAGAGATCTTTAATAAGTTTTAGGTATTTGTCATGAAAGAGAGAATGCTGAAGACACACTTATTATATGTGTTTTAACATATAGAAGGTTAGTATGAGAAGTGTGATAAAGCGTTTTCTTTATACATGAAATGTCAATATTTCTGTGGAAGAAAAGCAGCAAGAACTGTTTTTTGTGCCTTTATCTTCAGCATTTCCTAGACTTCCTGGAGCATGGTGTATGCTAATATTTATTGAATGAATAAATGAAAATATAAACTGCTTAGCCTCAGAATAGATAGCTTAGGACATTTCTGGAGCTCTCTCAAGCCATTGCTGGTGGTATGGGCTGATTGGAAGAGCCGGGGAATCTGATGTGGCAGGATGTAAGGGCTCTTGGTTACCCCATCCCCACCTGAGAGACCTGCCAAAGAAGAAGGAGGATATTGCTGTGCGACGACATCCCTACTTCCATAGGCTGTGAGGCTGGCGTGTGTATGTGTGCATGTATAAGGCAGTGTTTTCTAGGCAGGGGTGCTTGCTACAGCCTCAGGTGAACCAATACAACCTTTGCTAATACCCACTGGAGAGGCATCTAAGAATTGAGACTCTAGTCCCAGGGTTGGTTTAGGAGGCAGAGAAAGAGCACAAAAGCATGGTCTCAGGAAGGCCTAAATGCTATCCAATTGTACATCAAGACTGTGCTTTCTTTTTCTGATACTAGCAATTCAGGGACAAAATTAAGCCAGATAGAAAATTGCCATGTAAGTCAGAACGTGAATAGTGCCGGCATCATAAAGCAAGACAGTAGGAAGTGAAGTGTTTTGACTCAGGCCAGACACTGTGGAGCATGGATTTGGCAGATCTAATGCAAGACCCTCCTGATCACAAGGCTGGACTGAGTCATGGGCTGTGCCTGGCACACAGCCTTTGTTTGCAAATCACCCAGTGGCCAGGCCTGAGTTTGCCTTGTGCACTCCTGTGCGCACAATTTTTAAAAACGAAAGCTTTTCCCATGCTCTTCAGGTGACTGGCCTTTTGCAATACAGTCAATCAAAAAACATTGCTGAGAAACAACCTACCATAAGAGCAGGATCGATTATTGAGAAGACTGAAAAGTGGGAAGAATAATTTAAGACCGCCCAGAAAGCATTAACTAGTATTCTATTTTCATCAACTTTCATAGATTCCACAAGATTATTCTGAACTTCACCCAAATGACGATCACTTTTCTTAATATCTGGCTGAGTTGTTACATGGGGTCCATAAATCTTAGCTGGCGTTACCTGGCACTGTTAGTGATCAAGATCACTGGTTGACTGAATGTGCACTGGAATAGACATGTTAATCAGCCTAGTTAATTCGCTGGGGTAGTTAATTACTGAACAGTTATCTAATTAGCTAACACTTTTACTTCTCAAAGCCAGAGGTAAATGTCAGATTTAAATTGGTGGTTCTCCTCATCATACCCTAAAAACAAACTGAGAGATATGGCATGGAATATCAAATAAAAGTATGCAGGTGCCAGTGATAGTCTGTTGAGTCTCAAAACTGCCAGTGCTTGCTAGGAAGGAGCAGCAGGTAGATGAGCCTGAGATGAGTCAGGATGTAAGAGACAGATGTATTACTACAAGCTATCAACAAGAACTACTGTTCTAAGTTACAAAGGCAGCACATATGTTAAAGACTATTTTGCCTCATAGCCGTCATTATCTTTTCCAAGAGAAGTGTCCCCAGGACTTTTTTTTATATCTAGGCACAGTGGCAAATGTCTAGTTGGTGGTAGCAGTGGCAAAATTTAGGCTACATGGATTCCCCATTACTGAGTCCCCTATTCTTTTACCTTCCTATTCTGTAAATTTTGCTGCCTGACCAAGATGGATGAAAGGAGGCCAGTGTAGCATTCAAAGAGTTTGCCAAGAATGACTATCACCAGGAGGAGAAGTATCTTCTAACATGGAGAACTCAGTTAGGATGTGAGCACTTGATTCTTGACTGCATTGCACATTCTGAGAGAGAAATCCAAGCATATTAAGAGGTGTCTTGTATTTGCTGCTGTTTGGCATTTACAGACATTTTAGGTTCTGACTTGCCTGAAAGCCATGAGACTATGTTCTTGAAACTCTCACCAACATAAAACTTCAGCTGATTGCTATGGGAGCAGAGGGGGAAAAAATCAGGATGGAGTTATCTAGTCTTCTAGATTTTTCCATCCCAAAAGTGAAAAGTGAGAAGCATTAGCAAAAGTAGTGAATTCATGCCTTTCTTAGCAGAGACTCTGTTTTCTGAAAATACTAGGCTATATTTCATTATTTCATAGGGATTAAACCCTGGTTCAATAGATTTTACCAACAGCCTAGGGTTTAACTAAGGAAAAAGGCCCTGGGAAATAAGTTTGGTTTAGCTATCAGTCAGTCCTTCTATGTGAACCTGAATGAGCAAAGTTCAGATAAAGGGACAGTCTGAGGTCCTGACTTTGAATGCTTTCCTAACTTGTGATGGCAAAGAATGAAAACAAGTTGGCAAGGGGCTGGAGATGGGAAACTGAAATGTTTGAGAACCAGAAGTTCTCATGTGTACTGGACACGGTTTTGAGACAACCTGGTAGGCGTGTTTTAGAAACCAAAAGGCGGCTTGCATCTGTACAGTTGTCTCAAAGCAAATAAGTCTGTTTGCAACATCAAACCTGTGTTGGGATCAAGGACAGATGTAAGGGAAAGGTTCTCACCAATAGCTAACAAGCTAACCAACCTGGTCAAAGACCTAGGATGCCACACCTTCAAAGGGAACCTATCTTCTTGAGGAAGCACTGCTCTGAGAGTTGGGCTGTGGTATAAAAGGCATGCCAGGGAGGGCATTTTTTTGTTTGATAGGAAAATTTAAAATGCTAAAGGAAAAGGTTCCTTATTAATTTCACAAAAAAAAAAACAACTCAGTTTTAAGGGAGAGTATCATTCTAACTTGGAACTGAACTATTATGACTAGATCTATAATTTGATAGCAAGTCACAATATTTCTCTTTCTTGACATCAATTTAAGAGTGACTGTTCACATAGTAGAGAGAATGGCTTCGGTTTTACCTGCCTCCAAAAGATCTGTGAGATCTGACAGGAATACATATGTTGGGTGAGTAATTTTGATTTTTTAAATTTGTTTTGATCAGACAGATGTTCCTTGGATTTTGTATTAAATGATTAGATAGTGGGCCTCTACAGTTAAGCAAATTTCTTAAATGTGGAGATTATATCATTGGACACAGCTCATAAAACAATGAAAATGTCTTTTCAATGACATTTTTTACTCCTTGGTTTTGGGGGTTAGGGATTGGCTCATCTAAGAAAACGGAGCAAAATAAGTCACAAAAAACATGCAAAAGTTTAGCCAACCTTCAGTAGTAAACAAATGCAAGGTTCAGCCTGGGACTCACTATAGAGTTTAGCCCTTAACTCCAAGACCATGGGCTGCATAAAAAGGGCCTCCCAGTGCCTGAGGAAGGTTTAATTGTGTTGCAGGATATTGTGGAGTGATTTCATATGCTTTGTGATGGACCTGACATAGAATTTACTTCTAAAACACAGTCTATGTGATTCATCTCATGGGTAGACATAAAATTGCTGAAGCTGTCTACAAATTTAGCTCCAGTTCCTGCCCCAGGTTCACAGAACATAACAGAGCATTAATCATCGTGAGGCATAAGGAGATTCTGCTAGTTCCCTCTGACTCCCTGAGAGTTGTGTGAAATGTTTTGCTTAGAGCCTCCATTATGAGCATTTCAGAAAACACTCCATTTGCCCATCCCAAACAGAGGTAGCCTCCTGCACGTTCCCTTCTTTGGGGAAGCCCAGAAGAAAGAGAAAAGGAACAATTATGAAGATGAAGGTAATGGCAAATGGAAAGACTTCTTCCCAGACGGCACTTTCTTTTGGTTACCAATATTTAATACTCACTATGTAGTATAATTTGTGATAATTTGCTAAAAAGCCTATTCTGTGTGTTAGGAAAAGTAAAAAAGTTTGAAGAGAAAACAACACAAACATGCCTATTTAGTAAAAATTATATATTTTGGAAAAATCAAAGTGTTACAAAAACTACATTCATACTGGGTAGAAATTTGGTGTGGAATCCCAAACAAGACTTTTCTTTGTTACTGATAGAGTGATCATCTTAGAATTGCTTCTTGATGGGTACAATGAAACGAGAAACTTCTATAGACATTCCCCCAAATTTTCTGACTGAGAAATCGTTAGACATAAGGATAGGGCATCAAAAACAATAACAAAAACAAAAACAAAAAACAAAAAACAAAAACAACAACAACAAAAACTAAAGAATATCTCCTAATGAATTAATAGGAGTAGTATAATAAAAGTGAAAATAATTAGTGGATCTGCTGGTTGGAGAATTTCTCCTTGAAGATAAGAAAAGTGGCATAGATCAGTGATTTTAACAAAGCCCAGGTCTCCTTGACCAACTCGACCCAAATTTCTAGAGATAGGGTCTAGGGATCAGTACTTTTTAAAGTGCCCCTGGTGATTCTGATATGTAGCTAGAGTTTGGAATCACTAGGGTAGTTGAAAAAGACTCTTTTGTAGAGTAATGATTCATAGATTCAGTTGGGAATCCAAAGGAAAATTTTCCAGGTCGTGAAAGCAGTCTTGGCAGGGTGAAACAGAAAGTGTAATAGAATTTGGAAGAAAAGGTGGATGGCAGTGTTTGTCAAACTTTAATGTACATGTGAATCACACAGTTTGTTAAAATCCAGAGTTTGATTCAGCAGGTATGGGGTGGAGTCTAAGGTTTTGCATTCCTAACAAGCTCCCCAGGTTTGCTGATGCTGCTGGTTCAGTGACCACACACTTTGTAACAAGGGACTATGGGTACATTCTTGCCTCACAAGAAAAATAAGGACATGTCCTTTTGCTTTGAGATTTTAAAGCTTTTTCTGAAGTAGTAAAGTGTACTAACACTACAGAATACTTTATTTTTGAAACTAGGTGTGTATGACCCAGTAACTAATTAAAAATTTGTTACTCTGGATGTTTTTGAGAAGGAAATTAATAGCATTTTGTTCCACTTTCTGAACAGTTAAATTTAATTCAACAACAGAATTTGTTAAAACTTAGGGATTCAAGAAGGGTATCTGAGATAGCTTGCATCAGGGGATGCATCAGTCTTTCTAGTGGTATGGAAACTTAGCTGTATTATGATGTGAAATGCTGTCTACCAGCATCAGCATGAAGCAAATGCTTTAGGAAAACAGTGAGAAAAAAAAATTAATACTGACCAAGGAGAGACGATGCTTGGAAAAGCGTTCATGGAAGAGGTAATATTTGAATTGGACCATGAAGAAAAATGGGAATTTTGATAGGTGAAGCGTGGAAGGGAGGGGAAGGGTGTTCAAAGGACAAAGGCCTGAAGCAGGGGTTCTTAACTTTGGCTACAGCAAAGATCACTTGAGAAGATTTTTAAAATATTTTAAGTCTTTAAATTTAAAATACAGAGTGTCTAAGTTAATTGGTGACTTGTCACCAGTGGTTGTTTTCTTTAAAGCTCCCTGGTGATTTTAATGCACAACCAAAGTCAGAGTCAATAAAGATATAGAGAGGCAAGGCTTGGTAAAACGTTTTAAGGTGTGTGGAATGAAAGGTATGTGGAAAGGCCAGGCCACATCCAGGATTACAGGATCACACCTGTAATTCAGCACTTTGGGCGGCCGAGGCAGGTGGATCACTTGAGGTTAGAAGTTTGAGATCAGCCTGGTCAACATGGCCAAAACCCTGTCTCTACTAAAATGACAAAAATTAGCCATGTGTGGTGGCAGGCACCTGTAATCCCAGTTAGGAGGCTGAGGCAGGAGAATCACTTGAACCTGAGAGGCAGAGGTTGGGGTAAACTGAAATTGGGTCACTGCACTCCAGCCTGAATGACAGAGCGAAACTCTGTCAAGAAAGAGAGGAGAAAAGAAAAGAAAAGAAAAGAAAAGAAAAGAAAAGAAAAGAAAAGAAAAGAGGGAGGGAGAGAGAGAAAGGCAGGCATGTGGAGAGAAATGGGAGGAACAAAGAACAAAGAAGTGCCGGACAGTTCCTGGCAAAGACATGTTGATCGGCTGTGGTGTGGGTATAGATACCTTGTTATCACTAATAACTCAAGTGGCATATAATTACTACCCAAATAACCAAAAGCTACAAACGATATGCTTCATAATCATGAACCTTGAATTAAGGTCATTCATACAGCCATCATCAGCTTACTGTCTTGCATTCTATGGTATTTTAAAAAGAAAGAGAGGAACGACTAGTGGTCTAGCTAGCCCTGTTGAGATGGGGGTTTGGGCCAGGGCCGTGGCCCCTGGGGTGGAAAGAAAGTGGTGTATTCAGCATGGTTGGTGGAGTCCTTAATGGCAGTGCTGTTCAAAGTAGTGTCCACAGGCCAGCAACACCAGCACCAATGTGGAGCTTCCTAGAAATGCAAATTTGGACACATATCAGCAACCTGCTGAATCAGAATTCCCAGAAGAGGAGTCCATGAAGTGTCTGGCTGATTCTTGTGCATGCTAAACTTTGAGAAGGTAAAATAAAATACAAATAACTTACTCCAGGTTGCACAATTAGGACATATATGGTTGAAGTTGCACTGGAAGCCCAACAATTTGAATGCAGAGACCAGTAACTTATATTACATAGCCTCCCATGCAAAGAAATCAGATGACCATTACAGTCAGACAGAACTGAACAGAAACGGCTGTTTTGTAATTTACTGGTTGTTAATCTTGCACAAGTTTCTCAACTTCTGTAAGCCTTGGCTTCTTTGTAAATTAAATTGTTAACTTTACCCATCCCATAGAGCAGTTATGGGATACATGAGTTAATGAATTTGTTACATGCAGTTTTCATGTCATTTTCATGCTTAGAGCATGAAAGTAAGTGTGAGCAAATATTAGCCATAATTATTGTTGTTATTATACTACATTGCTTCTCAACAAATAATTTAACCCTAAAAGAAGGCTTATGTTCAGACTTTCTTTCTTGTGCACTTTCTCTAAAATTTTTTAAATATATTCTTTGTGTAATTTTCTTTTTCAGAAAAAGGTTTGTTCATGTTAAAAATCCTTACTTGGATTCAATGGATGAAGACATTCTCTATCACTTGGATTTGGGGACAAAAACACACAACCTACCAGCAATGTTTGGAGATGTAAAGGTAAAAACATTTCTAATTTCAGGAAAAATGATCGAGTTTTCTCTACTAATGTTTCTTCTTGCCTTCCCAAAATAATCTGTATACCTTTGGCTAGTGAAGTCCCAATAGGAAGTGAAGCCACACTCATTCTCTGAAACAATTTGGAATGTGTATATCATGAACAATCATTTCCACCTCAACAAGGCATAAAGGTTCCCTAACGAAATCTAGTGCAAACACGTTATTTGGCTACTCTGGTCCCTGGAGATAAATAAAGTTTTATTGACAATACTGCCAGGTGTTGAGAATTCATTATGTTTTAACAGATTCAGCTCACTACTTAACATCTACATTTATAGCTGAATCTCACTAGTTCTCATTTTATTAAATCATAGAAATAACTCAACAAATAATTTAATCCTATCAATATAATATTATTTCACTTCTGGAAAATAACCATTATCTAATATTTCATATTAAGACTCTTTTGTTTTATAAGAAATATTTCATATTATTTATCAAATACTACCAGAAAATTGTACTTCTGCATTATTTTATCTGACATATATTTTAATTATATAAGCAATTTGTGTTCATTATTTAAAATAGGGAATACAAAAAAGAATATGATTTTTAAAAAACACCCAATAGTCCTGCCATCTAAACATAGACATGATCAACTCATTTTTTTCTATCATTTTTAATGAATAGACTTTAAAATGGTTGTAATTATATAACTGCATTCTGCACTTTATCATTTAACTTTATGTCATTAACGTTTCTCCATGTTACTTTCTTTTGAAACATTTATGGATGTCAAATGGTATACCACATATTACCATGACTATTATTGACTTTTATGTTAAAATATTTTCCACTGTAACCAGGACTCAAATGAACATTTTTGTACCTATTTTTTTTTACATTTAGGTCAATTTGCTTAGGGTGATTCACAGAAACGGTCAAAGAGACTGAACTTTTAAATAACTTTTGTTTTCCAAAAGACTGTATCTATTTACGGTTGCATTAATGGAGAATCTTGCAGTTTTCATCTGACTTTTTCATTCCTTTAGCAATTACAAGAACAAAAATAAAAGCTTCACATCTACTATTTCACGAATATCTGCACATTTAGCTCTTTCACATGGGTTTAGCAGATATTAACTCTCTCCATAAAACAAGGAAATTACGTTCAGAAAGGTAGAAGTTTACAGTTACATTATAGAGTCGTAGAGCTGAGACCTGGACCAAGTTTTTCCAAAGTTCAATCTCCAGGTTTTTTGCTCACTGCGCTAGGTGGACCCTTTGAGTCACAGTAACTCAGGATAGTCTGTAATTATTTAATCTTAGCTTTTTCACTTACCCAGTGGGTCAAGAGGCAGGTAAGGGAAGGGGAGGAAGAAGAAGGAGAGGTTAAAAAGGAGGAGGAGGAAGAGGGTGGAGGTAGAGGAAAAAGAAGGGAAGAAGAAAGGAAGGAAGGAGGAAGGAAAAGAAGAAAAGAAGGGAAAATGAGAAGAAATAGATCTATGATGTTTATTATCAGTAGGTGCTGCGTAGCCTTCTCTGACTCCCTCTCTTTTAAGAAGGAGGGTGTGAGGGTGTGCGTGAGTATCCTGGCAGCGAGGTGACCCACCCTTTCTTCACTCCTCTCTAGGCTATGCTCCTTGCCTTTGGGTGACCTATCTCTACCTTGTGCTTCATTTTCTCAGTGTAATCTCTTCCCCTCCTGCTGTGTTGGTTACTTATGCTCCAAGAGTCATTCATCAAGGTGGTCTTTAATACTCAATAATCAGATTGTACCAGAATTCAAATGTTAGAGTTGAGGTTCATGCCTCACAATAATTATCCCAGAACCCTTGTTAATTAAAAGAATTTTCATAATTAATGAACTAAGGCACATAGCTGGTTAATAAATTTAAGAGACTTGAGATAAGTATTTAAGACAGAACATGATCTATTTTCTCCATATCTGGGTGTCTGTCTCTCCTCTACCATTTATGGAGTGCTTTCTATATATCAGACTGTGTGGCACATGCAAATGGTACATTCAGTCCCCACAGCAACAAAAATAGTCAGTATCTCCACTTTACAGATGAGAAAACCCAGGCTTGAACATACACATAGTGTTATAACACATATATAATATATGTTTGTCTCTAATAGGCACAACACAGCTGGTAAGTGAAACAGGTGAGATTAAACTTTAGGTTTCTCTGATGGAACATGTAATGGCTCTTTCTCTGTTCAAACAAAACAAAACAACACAAAAACAAAACCCAAAGCACTATGTTTTAGTATTTGTTAGTACTCCAAGTATTAGTTTCTGGGAAACCATTTGGATGGAAAACTTTGTTTTAGAGATAAAAATAAGGGAACTCACATGTCTCTCTCTCTTTCTCTCTCTCTCTCTCATGCACATGCATGCACACGTGTGCACATGCACACACACATGCATGTACACACACAGTTGTCTCATTTCAGTTATAATCCCAGGAACTAGACCTTCATATCTCTGCCTGACCAAATTTTCTTCAGCACTTATTCTCAAACACTGTCTGTCATAACCACTATCCAACCTTATACATTCACCACCCACCGGGTTGTGGAACCTTCAGTAAAGTTTGGATAAAAAGACATGTTCTGTGTAAAACCTGTTTTGTCCCATCAGAGAGCAACTCTACTGATTAAGCCATTTTGCTGAATAGGAGGCAAAAGTGTGAGTGTGTGTGTGTGTGTGTGTGTGTGTGTATGTATGTGTGTATGTGTGTTTGTAAATTGAGGAGCAGGTAACATAGATCCAAATGATCAAAACTGGCCATTTAACCTAAACTAGAATTTTTTCAAGGCAGCAGGTAAAGTCTGATTTGTTCTCATAGATGGTTTCCTCAGAAAATTGCCTTCCTCCAGCCATGTTCTTCTCTATGAATGAGAACATTCTACATTCAATTTCTTGACTCCCTTAAATCCTAGGGCAGCAGTCCTGGCTAAGAAAAGAGGACGTAATCCATCAGTACCTAAAAACTCAGCCTTGTCTTCAGAGAGATGATAATCATTATTAACAGCATTATCTTCAAATAAAGGAGAACTCTGAGTATAAGTTTAAACTTGAGACTCCAGCAATCACTTCCATTTCCTTTATATTCTTATCATATCTAAAAAATTTTGTTACTTGCTACTGTGAAATCTCAGTAACTTAATACAGTTTAAGTTTACTTTTCACTCACATTAGGTGCAAAGTAGGTATTCCTGGTTGATGGACAGTTTTCCTACAACTGGTAATTCAAGGACCCAGGTTCCTTCCATAATTGTTACTCTGCTTTCTTCAAGGCATAAATTGCTAAGTTTCCCAGTGTGTCAACACCTGTCCAGCACATAAGAGTGACAGTATATAGGGTCACCAATACGGCCTCTTTGTAAGATGGGAGATTTCTGTGGGCTAAGACTAGAAATGGCACTCATTACTTCTGCTCACATTCTAGTCGCTGGAACTTAGACATATGACCTTGTCTAACTGGAAAGGAGGCTGAGATGTTAAGTTTAGCTGGGTGCCCAGAAAGAAGGGCAAACAGTTTAGGTAAACAGATAATCTCTGCCATACTCGCTAGAAAGAATCAGACAATTAATACATATCGTAGAGAATCCTTTGAAGTTATCTATTCAATATCAACATCCAAATGTGTCTTTTATAAAATCACTAACTGGTATCCTTTAATTTCTCACTAGAAATTTCTAGTAATATGCAAAATTATTACTTTATATGGCCATGTAATATGCATTTTAACATAGAAAATGCATAAAATGCAATAGACCAGATTAATACAACATGGCAAAGTTAAGACTTGAGATACTGGGGATATCTAAAGTTGAGTTTTTTTCTGGCAGTCATTAGGCAAAGTCCTTAACATGTTATTGTAATGCCTCTGACTCCTTGCCAGTGTGCTTCTAACTTCTTTGATAAAACCAGGACAAATGATCATTTTGTTTGAGACATAAACACAGTAAGTGTCACTTAAGGTCAATGTTAGTTGGTGGTCTTCAGCCATATTTTACTTCTCATTAAAGCAGCCGGACTGAAAATTGTGTCCAGAGGTGATGTTTAGTGAGTCTGGTTTAGGAGTAAGGAAAGCTTTAAAAACCAAGCTGCTTCTGTCTGTTCATATCATCTTCATGTCTCCAGAAATATTCAGAAATTCCTGTTGATTACAGCAATATCTACAGTTCAAAGGAGAATTCAAACCACAAGCTATTCTAACATCTGTTTTGGTTTTATGGTCAATCTGAATAGTTGTAATTTACATTCACTGGCACCACACAATGAGGTTATTTTCAAACTACTGTATTGTGTTAAAAAAAATTTCCTTGGACTTAGATCATGAGCCAAGTCTTAACTATTGATACCAACAAAGTAGAAAATTCCATGAATTCTCAATAAAAAGTTTAAAACTCAGGTGAATCCATGGTTTTAGCCTCTTTTCTACCAGTCTTTATGGCTGACTTCTATTTCAGTCCATTATTAGCTTAAGGTTCCATCAGGGAAACTCATAAGAAGGCAGAGAAAAGACAATGTTAAGGGTAGAAGAGAAGCAGAGGGCCTGGATACAGGGCTAATTACACCCAGTAATTGAGAATGAGTGTAGCTCAGGAGTGATTGCCAAATGGAAATAGAATGCATCATGTAATCGGAACACCCAATAGTTAGAGTAAATCATTTGTGAATGAGGCCTTCCATTCTGTAACCTCAGTTAGGTATTTCGTTAGACAGATACTCTTTATCCCTGTGGTGGACCTTGTCATCCCTCCCAATCCTCTGTCCAATGCTGTCCACATAAGCCAGATATCACCAACTGCCTTTTCCTTACTAGAGGACTCAAACCAGCTTCATTTGTACTAAATTCTATAATACAGGAACAGTAAGCAAGCTCAAAAGCAGGGATAGGAAATTGCTATGTGATATAAAAAATAATGATCACCATTTGTCCAACACTGAGAAGGTATCTGGATTTGTGCAATGTCCTTTGCCATATGCAATCTCACGTTCCTCTTTCAAAACTCTTTGAGGTGTACTGTGTTTTTCCAATTTGGACAAGATCTGGGGCGCATAGATTATTTGTGTGACACTGAGCAAGCTACTTACTCACTGATGGGGTTGGAGTTCAAAGCCAGGTTTACCTAACCTTGAAGGGCAGACCCCTCACTATGTCGTCTTCCTCGTCTCCGCGTTTTCTTCACCACTTACTTCAGAATCCCAGAGGACTTGGCTCTTGCCACGTTGCGGTGGCCTGTGCTTCCTCGTGGGTGTGAGAGTCTGCCACTGCTCACCTTCTTGTTGCTGACCCCTGGCGCTTCTCTGCTCCTCTCCCTGGCATCCACTTCTCCCATTTCTGGTCTCTGGGGCGAGTGTACCCCTAAACAGACTGTTATATGAGTAACTGCCATATAACAGATGAGTATTACCATCTTCTATTAGACTTGACACCCTTGACTGCTACACCTATCCTAATTTCAGAGAAGGTAAAATGTGGATAAAACAAAAACAAAAATAAATCACTGGAATTGATGCCACAGAGAGATCCCACATTTACAATAATAAGGCTTATTCCATGAGAATTTCTTCTGAATAGGAAATTGAAAAGTCTTGACATGATTCCTTTAAAGTTTTAAGTTCACACAGTCCATTTCACAATAAAAATTTATGCTCGGGGATGGGAAATCAGAAAAAATACCTAAAACTGGTAGTTCTCCTTCTGCTCTCATATCACATACATTCTGTGGCCTCAGCACTTACATCCTAAGCATACATCATGTTAATGCCCAGCACTAGGCTGTCTATGTCAATTTAAGACGCTGGTTGGTGTTCACTATAAACAAAGGCACCAGGAAACACTTCATCGAATAATATCAACATTTATTTTGATTTTGTGATTTTCTTTACTAATTTAGTGCATAAAACTTTGCATCTGTTGCCTTATCTACAGGTTGATGACGCAAATTAGCTAATTCATGGAACATAAACCACGACGTCTACACACGCTTTTAAGTAAATTAACTAAAATGCAAATTGAAACATTAGAGTTGAAAGCTGACCAGTGGTTCTTATCCCAGTTACTATGGCAGGCTCTTGTTTATTTTTATTAACAGTTTGTCTGCGTTGGTGGGAGCCCAAACAGAATGAAAGCATTTGCACTGTTTGTGCAGAAGGAGCTCAGGTTGGAGGAAGCTGAAGAAGACATAAAAGACATCTGTGCTGGGACAGACAGATATTGTATGTACAAAACCGGACCTGTGCTTGCCATCAGTGTAAGTATCCATGGTTGCATTTCACCTAGTCATTGCAGGCTAGAGAAAAAAGTGGCAACTTTTACACGTAGAAGTTCTTATTCCCTCCTGCTTTGCATTCTTACACAATTAAACTGGGTGTCCAGGTATGAGTTCATTATTGGAAAAAGCCCCTAGGGCAGAACATAGCATGCAGCATCACTTTCGTTTATTAGTTACCACTTACGTATTCAAGTTAGGGGAAAAATCCTCAAAGCACCCCTCCTTTCTCTTTACTTTGTAGCTGATTAACACCCCTCACCCCTCCACCGCAATTTTCCTTCCTCTGTCTCTTATCCTGCTTTGGGAATGTCGAGCTTTTAGTACACAGAGGCTTATTTTCAGGACTGCTAAAGTGCTGCTGTTTAACACTATAATAAGCTTGCTGAAAAGCTGCTAATGCATTTCTACTGAGCTCTTATGAATTACTCTCCTGCATTTAGAATATGTGAACAGCTATGGAAGAACGCAGTGTCCTAAGACAAAATGAAAGGGGGATGATTTGCAGTTCTGGGGAACATGCAGACTATTTCCCCCTTGGACTCAGCTGGGCACACACTTATGAGGGCATATGTGCATAAGTATCCAATTTGCCTTCCCATGCTTGTCTCTCTGCACAGATGTGTATTCTGAAGCAGAAACTCTGAAGCCATCACATTTCTGGGCAGTACAACCCTTGTAAGAGGCACAGGCAGGCATGCCAGGGGACAGGGGAAGAATCTCTGGCACAGGGTGGCAGTTCTAAGGAACTGAGTTGTAAGTGGCTCCTACCCCAGGGAATAGGCATCATCTGTTGATTGTCCTATAGTGTGGACAATCATGAAAACCTGGGAATAAAGAAGGGAAAATTATGCAACACCAATGAGGCAGCTCAACTGATCTCCTCTCTGGGCCAAGAATGCCTGAAACTTGCTCAAATGGGAGAATCCATTCACTTATTCACTTGGGCATTCAATAAACCATTACAGAACATCTACATTAGAAGGGAGATGTTCATCTACTGAATATCCACTGATCTTGGCAAATCTTTTCTTACCAACATTTGCAGGTTTAGACTACAACTGTTCTATTTTGTTCAGTAAATGGAGGACAAAAAAAATAAGTTTCTTAAAAATATGACACTACCATACATAGGCAGTAAAACTTCAGAGTAAGAAATAAAGCAGCAGTAGACCAATCCTGCTGTCCTGTCTGGGAAAAAGACCTGAAATACGTGTCATGCCAAGGTTAGCCAATTAGAAACGGGCCTTACTAGGCAGGCAGGGGATTGACAAATTGTGATTCCTTCTTTGAAAATTCTTCCTCTCCAGTAGTGGTTGAGTGGGGTGTGTGTGTGAAAGAGAGCACAACAAGTCTATCTGTCATTTTATCAACACGTCACATAATAAGTGACAATCATTAACCTATTAAATGTCTGAGTTAGAAGGAATCTAATAGATCAAATAATAATTCATCTTCTTAATTTATAGGTAAGAAAAAATAATACTTAGAGAGTTTATTCGTTAGTCACAGAGTCAGTTCCAAAGTCCCAAACTTGTTAATCTTGAATATACAAATCAATACAAGTTCAATTCCTTGCTCCAGGAGGCTTACTAAGCATTTGGAAGTCAGGGCATATTCAATGGTAACCAGAAATGGGGAACCCAGAGGTTTGAAGTTTCCATAGCTCAACAATCTTGATAGGAGGAGGAAGCTCAGGTGAAAACATCATGGTCACGGCTCCAGTGGTTTTCCAAAGTCTTTGTGTCCAAGAGTAGGACACACTGAGGAACACTTTTGACTCTCTGCTGTTATGTCAGGAATGAAGTTACTACCAGTTTGGAACTCAGTTCCAGTTTCTACAAATTACAGAATGGAAGATCTTTCTGGAGAGTTATTAGGACATCGTGTAGCCACCAGGAGTTGCTAAATGCTCTAGCCTAAGTTGATCCCTTTACTGCTGACATTGATTCTACTGTCCTAAATACTGAAAAAAATAACAGGGCTATGGTCACGATCTACAGTAATTTAAACTCCCATCCACTTTCAGTATACGTTTAAAATTGTTAGGTGGGGAATCTAACCCATGTTTCCACCCTAGTACCTTTCAGAGCACACAAACTTAACAGCAAATGAAATGGATTCACTATTTCATTTAGTATGGTTGAAAAGGACTAATGATTTGGCAGCCAAAATTATATTTCCTTGAAATCAAGTCAATCTTGTGAAAAGCTCTTTTTCAAAGGCTCATGATGAAGAGCCCAGTGGGAAGACAGGAAATGGCACCACCCTGACACACCTGTACACCTGTACACCATGCCATCCTCACCTTCTGCTCTTGATGATGAGGGCTGAAGTCAACAGAAATGGAAGTGAGATACCTCCCTCTGATCTTCACAGACGAACACATCCATCAGCATGTCATGTAGGCGTCAGTTAGGGATGACTTACATTTTCCTCAGCATTGGCAAAGTCTTAATGATTATGTAAATTTATCTGAGGGCTGTTAACTTGTAATGAAGGAAGAAAATATGTCCTGCTCATGTATCACTTTGCAAGATGTATGATGACTTTCTCTTTCTCTCAACAGCATGGCATGGGCATCCCCTCTATTTCTATTATGCTTCATGAACTCATCAAATTACTCCACCATGCACGGTGCTGCGATGTCACCATTATTAGAATTGGTACATCAGGGGGAATAGGTAAGATAGATTGATTTCTACTATTAGAACTCAGTGATCCCTACATACATAGAAGCTGCCAAAATATACCATCATATTCAGAGTCCAGCAGAAGCCCATATGGGCTAAAAACTGTCAGAAGGCTGGACTGGAGAAAATTTAAGGAAATCCGCCCACAATGCCTTTTTCTTTTCTCCTTTTTTTTCTTCATGGAAACCCATAGGGAGAGATCTCACTGCCTATTGCAGGATGGTCTTAGGTGTATAAAGTGTAGAAAATTTGCTAGAAAATATGTTTTGAGGGGAGGGGTAAAATTTAATTCTTAGAAATTTTTTCAAGTGACAGAAATAATTGTGTTCAAGTAAAGAAAAATCACAAAAATTCCCCAGTTTTATCAGCTAAGTGAGCGAACTGCAAAGCTCTTAGAAAAACATTGCTTTGTGCTCACATCAGTTACTACATTGCCTCTATCGGCTGTATCTTTTCCTCATCAGTACACCAGAAAGAAACCAGGCTGGGCTTTTAGGAAAGGCTTAAGTGATGCTTCCTAAAGTTTTTACAGAGCCTCCCGCCCTCCCTTCTTCTTTGGCTCTTCAGGCAGCTGTAAAGAGGCCTTGTTTTTGCTTCCAGAATGTGTTATGATGAAGTTTAGAGGAAACATCTTCTTCTTCAGCTTTTTCTGAAGGAGCACATCTTGTCAGGGTATGATTTTACCATGTCACCAAAATGCAAATACAGACTGTACATGATAAATTGAGAAGTTTTGGCTGACAGGGAGATAGAACTGAATGGACGTTAGAAAAAGGGCTGAGATTTGGGAAGATAAATGGTCGTAGAATCAGACATTTTTGGAGCAAAAGGGATGTCGGAAATCCTCACACAAGGAGCTAGAGACATGGGGCGTTCAACATCACAAAGCCACCATGGCTGAGCCATGCTTCACCAGAAATTAGACATGTTGGAAAAGATAATAGCCTTTCCACAGCTGTGCTCCAGGAATGAAGTCCAGCCAGGGCCCTTACATCTGGGAGAAAGTAGGACCTTTGTGGATGTCCATCCAAAGAGAGAAGTAGAGTGCCAGCAATACGTGTTAGATCAGGCATCCTTCTAGATTGTCATTTATCCAACAATACCCCAAATAATCAGTAGAAGGGAACAAATTCATTTGGGCATGAATTTCAGATAAAACAGCTACTACCGTTGCTCATAATTTTGGGTTCTGGGGCACAAGGATCTGCCTCCATAGCCCATATTCATGCACTATAAAGTCCTGACTGCTCCAGTTACCACTTGATATTAATGAACGCCAGCATGGGCAAGGTGCTTCAATGACCATCAAGCTCTTGGCAATGGTCTTTTATTTCATCGCAACATGATACACACAGCACATAGACAGTACCAATATCACAATGAAGGCCTATGCGTGGTGGCAAATTAACCCTCTGTGCTGGTGTGGACACTTTCATTTTGAAGTTTTGTCCTCAGTAAGAACTCTTAGCTTATCAATAAGATGTATTTGCTTATTTTGTTTTAAGCAGCATTGCATTTGAAGATGAAAGATGTACAGAGTATTATGTTGCTCACACGATCCCTTCCTACATGAGCCAACACACTTTGATAAGAATAAAGTACTCAGTTAAATAGTAGGTTGACCATTGAGAAATCTTAACCATCACATAATACACTAATACATTTAAATATTAGGATAGCATATAAATAACATCATTTTTATGTATATGTTTTCAACTCCCCTCTCAATCACTTTCTTAGGACATTGTGAACAATTCAAGAAGCCACTTACTTGGCATATTTAAAAAGTATCTGGTTGGGGGTGTGGCTCACACCTATAAATCCCAGCACTTTGGGAGGCTGAGACAGTGGATCACATGAGGTCAGGAGTTTTAGACCAGCCTGGCCAACATGGTGAAAACCCATCTGTACTACAAATACAAAAAATTAGTCAGGTGTGGTGATGTGCGCCTGTAGTCCTAGCTACTCTGGAGGCTGAGGCAACAGAATTACTTGAACCCAGGAGGGAGAGGCTGCAGTGTGCCAAGATCATGCCACTACACTACAGGGCAAGGCCCCATCTCAAAAAAATAAGTAAATACAGAGTATTTCACCCATCAAGGATCCATCATCAGTGGTCACCTTGGGTCTCTAGTTGGATCTTCTAAAGGATTTTGTAAGTAAGTCTACTTTCATCAATATCAAAATTTATGTCACCAGAAGGATAAGGCTATACTCTATAGTAGGGATTAGAAAGCTTTTTCTGTAAAGGACAGATAGTAAATATTTTAGGATTTGCTAACTGTGTGTGATTTCTATTGCAAATTCTCAACTCAGTCACTATAACTTGAAGGCAGCTATAGGTGGTATATAAATAAATGGGTGTGTCTGTGTGATAATAAAACTTTATTTACAAAGACAGGATTTGGTTTATGAACCATAGGTTTGTAGAGCTGTAATCTATGGCATCTTTGGGAAAGCATTCACTCATTCAACAAATTTTTATTGAGTACCTATAACGTGGCAGGCACAGAGCTAGACCAGGAGAACTATGAATAGACGTTGTTCTTGCCTTTATAGAGTTTATGTCCTATCAGAGAAAAAGATAAACAAATGAGTAATTATAAAAAGTGTTAGGACAGAGAGTCTCAGGCATTTACCGAGAGCCTTCTATTCAGGATCTAAATGGAAACCACACAGGGTCAAAACTGGGTCAAGGCTAAGTCTGGGGAAATTCAATGTAACCTATCTGTGTTGCCTTTTAATTTTTTCATTTGTTTGTTTCCCTTCTGTGGATTCAGATCTTTTTCAGGAAGTTACTTAAGCTGACACCTGAAGAGTGACTTGGTGTTAGTGTGATGAAAAGGTCAGGGGAGGATCAGAGGGCATTCCAGGAAGGGAGACTAACAGTTGGCAGAAAACAGTTTCTTAAGTAAGCCCAAGTCCCTCGAGCAGCTCAGACTTTGTAGCCAAGGAAGTTCAGCCCAGACGCCTGATTTACATGGAGTCAAGGAGGGAACAAATGTGACAAGAATCAGAAGAAAAAGAGGCTAGAGATGCAAAGAAATTACAGTAATCAAGAAGTTACAGAGAAGATTAAATACTAAGAAGTCACATTGCTTTATGAAAGCTACTTGCTGGCAGGCTTATTGAGTTTTTCATGACCTAACTTATTCAAATGTGAGCCCAAAAGCTGGCACTAATTTGCATGTCCAAGAGTCATGTTTGTCTTGAAATCTAAACCCCCTCACATTGTAAATGTGCATTTGGAAAGACAACAAATGTAAATGCCTCTTCTGAATGTTATTTAATTGCATTTGGAAAAGAAAATAATTTTAAGGTTGAAAACAGGAAGACTCATTAGCAGCTAGCATTAATGTTAGCAGAATAGGTTATATACTATGTGTCAAAAGTAAACTCCAAATGATATTTCTGTAATCACTTATTCTCATATTGCAGGGATTGCACCAGGGACTGTTGTAATAACGGATATAGCTGTAGACTCCTTCTTTAAGCCCCGGTTTGAACAGGTCATTTTGGACAACATCGTCACCCGAAATACTGAACTTGACAAGGAACTGTCTGAAGAACTGTTCAACTGTAGCAAAGAAATCCCCAACTTCCCAACCCTCATTGGACATACAATGTGTACCTATGATTTTTATGAAGGTGAGAACAATTTATAAACTGTGAAGGCAACAGAAAAATGCCAGCCAACTCTTTGTTATTCAAACCCATAATTTATATTAAAAATTCTACTTTAGAAAATTAATATTTGTGGATTAAAAAGGAACCAAAACATCTTTTTTTACTTACTAAAGCATAGAAACACAAGAACATAATAAGCAGCAGAGAAACACTCAGAATGAATTTATATTGAGGGCGGATTTAATCCTCCAAGAACAAATTGAATACTAAAATGCAATTAGTGATGTTCACAAAATCTTATCTCTGTTTATGCCTTTAACTTAAATAAGAGAAGGGAAGTATGCTGATTCTATGTCTCTGCCGTTCATCTGTACTTGAAAAGGGATCTTATCCCCAAGAAAGAGTGGGCCAGAAAATGGGGAGAAATGGTTGGGGAGGGCGTATGAATCCCACGGGATTGCATGGTCTCAGAGTGGGGCTTTTGTCTCTCAGCCATGAGTAAGAGGTTTGGGGACCCCTTACAAAATTGAAGGTGACTGCCACGTAGCAACACTTGCTACTAGGGACAAATGTTCAGGGGGAAAATACCTTTAGAGACAGACCCAACTCATCCCAGAAGAAAGAATCTACGCAGAGTTTGTGCCATGCCTTGAAGGGTATTTTGGAAATCTGGCAGTATAGTTGTATTCATTTCAAAATTCATACTATTTCATTATAAATTACTTTTATTTTCCCTTTGGATCAAACTTAAGGTATTACATTGAATTCCAAAAAATTACGTTTGGAGATAGGTCATCTTATCTATACATTTTACTTCCGGTTAGTAAAGGTGGCTTTACCACATATTTGTTGTGAAACAGGAGGGCTGTTGGGATCTGATAGGGCTGAGACCCTCTGTCCAAGGCCACTCACAGTCCCTTCATCTCGAGGGTCACTCATTGATGTGTTAAAGCAGAGTTTGCAAATGGCAACTCGTTGAAGTCAATGTTTCCTTTGGCTTGCACAGTATTTTTTAAAATGTCAACTATTTTGCCAACATTTATAGTATCTGGAGATTTTATATGAACATCCACATTTCTGGCTTTTTGAAATAACTAGCATTTTAAAATGTAGAATTATATATGCATGGCAGCCTTGACAAGCCCTGATCCACATCTGGGGCTACATTTACTGAAGGTTAGGTGAGGCTGCTCCCCTCAGACCAGACACCCTCATTGACATTAGCTGCTTGGCTTCTGCGATGACTGTGTTTGAATCAGCTTAAATAGCACTCTGTTAGAGGTGTTGGCGGGCAGCTTTAATGAGAAGAGAAGGAACAAGGAGAAGCAGACTGCCAGGGGTGAAAGTAGCATGAAAGAGATAGAGGAAAGAGAAAAAGAGAAAAGAGCACTAAAAAGAGGATTGTGAAAATAGCGGATGGCGACAGAGTGCTATTATCCCACTTGCTCAAATCCTTCCAAGCTTTCTTGGGAGTGGGGAGGGATTAGGAGGTCTCTATTTCTGGGTGTGCACAGGGTGCAGGAGGAGTAATGACATCACAGTTTCCTTTCCTTGCTTCTGTGCCCACTGGTGGATACAGGTGAAATTCACTGGTGAATGAACACTGGGGGCAGCCTGGAAAGGAAAATGTGATCACAAAGTGGCATGCAGCCTGAGAGGCGTGCAGAAAGGGGAAAGGTGGACAATGTCACAAAGGGCATACGGAGAGGCACAACATCCAAACACAGTCCTTCTCCTCAAGGAGCTGAGCAGCACTGAAGCCTCTTTTTTTTTTTTTTTCTCCCGGCACCTGTCCCTGAGTTATTCCCTAGTCATTGGAGCAACCTGAGATTTTCCTCAAAGGGCACCTCTCACAGTAACGCCCTGCTTCCTGATGACCCTGGGCACAGTGCTGGCTGCGGTAGCCACTCAGCAGTTACTGGCCCCAGAACTGAGGCCCTCAGCCATGAAGGCTCCTTCCTACATATGGGACTCCTAAGCCAGGGACAGCCTCACTCCATGGTTCTCTGGTAGAAAGATTCACACAGCCCAGTATATCCTACGTAGGGCGCATGCTGCAGAGTTAGAGACAGCTGCAGAGTGCTCCAGTCAATAGCAAGCCTCTCGTGATGCTGCTGCCAGTGGGGTGGGACATCAAGTCATTAAATGTTCTCCTCTCCCTTTCAGGCCAAGGCCGACTAGATGGAGCACTTTGCTCCTTTTCCAGAGAAAAAAAGTTAGATTACTTGAAGAGAGCATATGAAGCTGGCGTCAGGAATATTGAAATGGAATCTACAGTGTTTGCAGCTATATGTGGACTCTGTGGTCTAAAAGGTAAGTTTTTCACGAATTCTTAGGGTCAAATTCTCCTCTTTCATGAAGCTACTTTTACACCTTAGGAGAAAAAAAAGGGGTCCAGTTAGATATTACTTTGGGTTGAAAGCATGACATATAATTGTATGTAATATACATTATCTCATAATGTCTGGTGAGTGGGTGGGACATTATTCCTATTATGCAAATAAGGAAACTAAACCTCAGGGGTCAAAAGCAAGTTGGCCAAGGTCACCAGCTAGTTGGTGACATGGTCAGGGCTTGACAGTGAGTTTGGTCTCCTTCATGCTGGCAGTGGCTGCTAGTTCCTGTTACAATTGAATTCATGGAGACAAGATACAAACAAAATATTCCTCAAAGTGTCCATCAATCATAATTTTAAATAGCATGGTCAGGGAAGGATGGGAGGAGAATATGCCACATGAATATCTGGGAGAAGAGCATTCCGATCAATGCAAATCCAAGGCCACAGGCAGGAGCATTCAGGGATAGGAACAAGGAAGAGCTCAGGAGGGGAGAGATAGTGGTGGAGAACGAGAGGAGAGAGGGAAGGTGTGGAGATTGTGTGGGTCATTGTGAGAGCGATGACTTTCACTTGGCATGAAATGGGAAGCCATTGGAGAGCTTTGAATAGAGAGGCGGCTGGATCTGACCTGTGTGTTAACAGAATCGTGGTGGCTGCTGAGCTGGGAAGACCCAAATGGGGTCAAGGGCAGAAGCAGGGAGAAGAACAAGAGGGCGAACGCAGTAGTCTAGTGAGAGTTGATGGACAAAGTGATAGCAGTGCAGGTAGTGAGAAGTAGTCAGATTGTAGAAACATGGAAACATGTTGAAGACAAACCCAACAACATTTGCTGACAACCTGATGTAAATTTGGGGAGAAAGGCATGAGTTAAAAATGACTCCCATGTTTATGGCCTAAACTACTGGAAGCATAAGGTTGTCATAACTGGGACAGAAAAAATGTGGGTGAAGATGTTGGAGTGGCAGACATCAAAATGGGTCCAAGCATGCAGGTGAATTTATAAATCTGGAGTTTAGGTGGGTCGTTTGGACTGGAGACATAAAATTCTAAGTTGACAGCATATAGATGGCATTTAAAGCTATGCAGGGGATAAGATAACAATGAGACACAGACGGCAAGAGGTCCCTGCTTAAATGTTAAAATTAAGGGAGATGGGAGAGATCAAGGAGGAGTGGCCCATGAAACTGGCAGTACACCGGGGAAGGGCGGCATCCTGACATGCAGAGAGAAAGCCTTCAAAGATGTCAAGAATTACAGCACAATAAAGCTTCATTTTTATCATAAGTGGAATTTGACTTGCAATACTTGTCCTTATAGTCAATCAATTTTAATCTACACATAACGAACAGAATATATGTGGTCGTATTTCTAAGAATGCGTTTTAGAGAAAAGTTACAGTTATAAGGATATTAATTGTCGAACCCCTATCCTTAACTACTTGCATCTGTCAGAATATATGTTCATGTAAATTCTTGGTAAAATGTAGGAAGAACAGACAATGCATCTTCGTACTTTTTTTTTTTTTTTTTTTTTTTGAGACGGTCTCCCTCAGTTGCCCAGGCTGGAGTATAGTGGTGGGATATTGGCTCACTGGAATCTTTGCCTCCTGGGTTCAAGCGATTCTACTGCCTTAGCCTCCTGAATAGCTGGAATTGCAAGTATGTGCCACCACGCCCAGCTAATTTTTCTATTTTTGGTAGAGAAGGGGTTCCACCATGTTAGCCAGGCTGGTCTCGACCTCCTGACATCAAGTGATCCACCTGCCTCAGCCTCCAAAGGGCTGGGATTACAGTTGTTTGAGCCACTGCGCCTAGCCCATCTTTGTACTCTTTTGAAGAACATTGCTAATACCCCCTTTTAGAGAATAATAGCATCTGCTTTTCTCTCTACAAGTTAGTGACAATGGAAAAGCAGCACCCACACAGCCTGCAGGGACACCTGGATTCAGATTTTTCTGCTCCAGGAAATGCCTCTTCACCTTTCTTTATTGTATAAACAAATGATCATCTGAGTCATGTCTCCATGTAATATGTAAGTGTTACATAATTTGTTAACCAATTTATTGTTAAACATAAAATGCCTAGTTATCAAAATGTTGCCTTCGTGAAAACTGGGTGATGACCATCAGTTCTTTCTTAAGAGGCACCAATTGGCAGCCAAGAAGCGGTCTAGGCTTTGTGGACCCTGGACTCTGAGTCTGTCTTTCTCTCTTTAGGATGATGCAGAAACCGAAGTGAAGTTATTCTAAGAGACTTTGTGTCCTTGCTGCAAATCTTTGTGACCTTGTTCTCTCTGCTACCTGCAGGCTTCCCTCCTGGAAGCTTTCTTCTCTCCATTTCTGTAGTTCCTGCCACCCACTGCATTTTCTTTTTTATGCTGCTGCTGAACCTGTTGGTAACTGATTTTAGCCTGCAAATAGCTCTTTCCCAGGCCACTGCTGGAGCCTTTCATGGAGTAGACCCCTTCTAGGCGGCCAACATTCACACTAAATGTTGCATCTGCAGCTCTGTAATTCTGTAGTTCTTTGGGGTAATTCTATCCGGATGTCTTCATGGTGTCTGGGACTCTTTATCTCCCTCAGATACTACTGTTTTAAAAGGTGGATTCCTGGTATGCTGCCCCCTGGAAGATCAGCCACCAAGTATAGAGACAAAAACCCCATGCATAGGATGCTGTCATATTCTCTTCTTTCATTACTACTTCATAACATCCTGCTCTCACAGCACTGAAGCTTGGAAGCTGGCACCTGGCACCTTTTAATTTTAACCCATTTATAACACACTTTGTGTGGGCCAGAAAAGCTTGCCCGGGGAAGGGCTGAGAATGCATTCACAGGCAGATGCTGAAACAGGAAGTTAGAGAGGATTTCCAATGGCAGGCAATATGGAAAAAAGGATTTCACCTGGCACCAAGAACCCACGGTCCATTGGTATGTCTCCTCGGCCCCCTCCCTGCCACTGTTAGTTATGGCCCACCCCATCCTCTCTCTCCAGACAGCCTTCTGTGACCTATTCTGCTCCTTTAGCACTACCAGATGACTGGATAACCAATATGAATTCATACTAAGGTGATGGCTTATATGATGGCTTCAACATATAAATAACAAATTTTTACATAAACAAAGGTCTTCTAGAGAACCACTGTGCTAACTTAGATGAATTACTCACTGAGTTTGGACGATTTCAGAAACAGATCTTTCTATATCTACTGAGCATGAGGCGGCCGTGGGCCCACGTGGATTACCACTTATTATCTTTGCAGTAAATATCATACATCTCAACCTAAATCTCACCTCCTCAAAGAGGTCTTGCATGACTACCTAAACTCACTCACTCACAATGATGTCATCTTATTTCATGTCTCTGCTTCACATTTACCACCAGTCTGTTTACATATTAACATATATTATTTCATGCATATTAATGTATGAAGGCATAGATTATTTCTCTCCATTAGAATATAAGTGCCAGAAGAACAGGGACCTTGTTTGTCATTGCTGTATCCCCACCACTTAGAATAATGCCTGCCATATGGGCTTCAATAAGTATTTACAGAACAAGTGAATGAATGAAAAAAAAAATGGCCACTAGACTCGTTTTGACCATAGAAAATGGCCATTGCAAACTTTAACCTTCATTCCCCAGCCATATAAGTGGCTTAGAATTGTTTAAAAGACTTAGGAGTATCTCTTAACTTTCCACATAGGAGGAAGTAAAGCCTTAAAGTCAAGCCTCCCTTTGCTCTGAGGTCTATACGAACATTTATTTTGCTAGATCTGCTCAACCTCTGGGTCTCCCAATATTTGATAGGTGGTCAAACTACCTATAATAAGGCTACTGACACTTGTAAGTCATTGTTGCTACCCTGATCATATTATCTTAGAAAAGAGTGTTGGGAATCCAATGCTGTTTTAACAAAGATTCAGGGGAAGGGAAATAGTAGAATTCGCCCAATTATTCCAAAGCTGAATTTTCAGCATAATGTAAACCTGTACAATAGAAGCACTGTGCAATACTCGATTAATGCATCCCCTATCATTTTATAATATGCACGTATCTGTGTCTTTCTTAAAGCAAAATCTACTTTAATTAAGCCCCAAACATTCTGATTAAAGATGATAATCCTCTTGCACTGTGAACTTGCGATAAGTATGGTTAACCTGTATTCATATTTTAAATACAGTGCTGCCTTTTGACACAGGCTTGCATGACAATATACAAAGCCTAATATGTGTATAAGATTAGGTTCTACTTAAATCCTCTTCTATGTCTAGTTGTTTGCTGCACTCACAGTGGCTTTTCTTTGAACAATTCAGTGTTATTTCCTTGGACAGACACTGGTAACTTAGGGAAATATTTAGTCTTTATAATATTACCTTGGTACAGTTCAATGAGAGGGAGCACTCGAATCTTAACTTTAATTCCATATTGATATTCTTCTGCTGTTCCCAATAATGAAGGATATTGGACTCTGAGAACTACATGAGGATTGTTCATAAAGGTAAAAAGTTACTACAAGGATTAAAGATTATAATCATTTTGGAGCTAGAGTATTTCTTAATCCTAAAATGAACATAAATCCAGATTTTTGAAAACTCCTTACAGCAAGGTACAAGGTGACCAATTGCAGTGCTTGTCACCTTTACAAGAGTAAAACAGATGGTAGCTCAGAGAGGTTATAACTTCCCCACCTTCTCAGAGCTGGGAAACAGGTGAGCTGGACTTTGAACCCAGCTCTGCTGACTTAGGCCCCTTTGCACCCTGCCTGCCACTTCTTGCCAGCAGCCTCCATGTGGAGACAACACGTTCATAGTCTCTGGACAGAAGAACCAAAGTGTGCACCACTAAAAGTCAACACAGATTTTTCCATTTAAAGTGTTGTGAACAGATAGTTGTGTCACTGCCATAAGCAAACCCTAAGGACTGAGCACATACCAATTGACTTAGTGATGGGATCAAATAAAATATTCAACAGA